CTGCTACCAACACTGCCATCAAAGTTGCTTTTTGCTCCTGCGATAAGCTCCATCACGACTGCATCCACCCTGGGCTGGCTCTTCATCAACACACCCAACACCTTGGCTGCTCTATTCCTAACAACAATACTTGTGAGGTCACTTATGCCCTTGACAAACACCCTCTGCAGCTGAGGGTGGAACAGTTTCATGAACACAGGTATATGTTCCAACATTGATGTCAGTGCACTCAGAATGGCTGTCTTGACCACTTGTCAGTACATCATTGTTTGCATTGCCACTCAAATCAGCAAGCCAGTGAAAGAGACCACAAATGGTTTGATCACAGTGTCTTGCATATAATCCATGAGATGACCAATAGCATATGCTGCTTGTTCCCACTGCTCATTGCTACTGGTAGTCAGACCAGCAATAATGGCTGGAATGAGAGGCCCAACTGCTTTGGGGACACTAAAACCAGGAACAAAGTGACCCAGAGCACCTGTAGACTTGACACTCCACCACAAGGGGACCACAAATGATTCAAGTTTATCTTTGGGAATGGATCTGAGGAATATGTCAATGGTTTGTATGGCACTTGCATAAACATCCTTGTAATCATCTTCCACAGCAGAGATAAGCTGTCTGATTCAGTCTACATGATATAGCAAAGTATCCAGTTCAGTCTCTTCACAGAAGATGGAGAAGAATTTTTGTTATCTCAGGGTATCATGCTTTGACCTGAACAACATTAGAACTAACACATAATATACCTATAATATACTGACCATCCCAAGAGCACCATCATGAGAGTGTTCAACTCTTCAATATCATTGACCAACCTGAATGATGCATGAGTTGCCTCATCCACTGAAGATAAAAAGCTCTTCATCCCTCTGGTCTTTGATAACTTTGACAAAGGCACTGGTAATGACCATCAGCTGCTTGCTCAGCACATTTCCAACAACAGTGACCAGTGAAGTAAGAGTGTGAGCATTGAACATGGTCATAGGCATAGCCATCAATGTTGGAATTAGGATCAGAAACACAGTCATCACTTATACCTGTAATCAAATGTTAGATTGATATACAATGAGAAATAGAGACTGCTGACATCCATGACCTCCTTAAGTGCTTGCAATGACATTCCAGGACTCTCCAGGCTGCCAGAGGGCTTCCAGAAGCATAGGGATAGTTTCATTAATGGCCTTGAGTCCCATATGTTCTTGCAACATATCAAATGCTTTAGCCTCCACAGATTGAACATTAGCCTGATTGTCAACCAAGGACACACAAACAATAGATATGACATCATCTTCATGATCTTCTCATTGAGCATTGGTGGAATTTTCCCTGGGCAATGAATAAAATCAGTCTATCTCTTGAATTGAGAGTGGCTCACATGATTTCACTTAGAACCAAGCAGACACCTTCTCATGTCCACAAGTTGGCTGGCATCACCTTAACTTTGAGGAGAATAGCCATGATTTTGCCAATGATCTTTTCATCCAACTGGTGGCAGACAAAGACACCCACATACCTCTTGTTGCTCAAAAGAACAATTGTTTGACTTGATCAGTTTGGAAAGTATCTCTTGGACTACATAACAGCAATGAGTATACCTCTAAATTACCAAATAGATTCATCATACCTGTTCAGGAAGTATTGATCACCAATACTTTCTAGATTTGTATCAATGATTGACAAACAAAATAAAGCATAGCAAGAGCTCTCTGCAGTGCTTGCATCAATGACATTTTCCTTATCAAGATCACAAGTTTTTTCTGAGATACCAGAAACTTTGAATATAAGCTCTCCCACAAGGGTAATGGATGATTGCTGGAGAAAGACAGTTAGCAAAAACAAACAAGATGGCAAGATTCATACCTGAATGCACTAACCAGAATCAAACAGATTGATTACTCTATTTAAATAGTTGATTATAATCATTCTTTCAGCCCTCATTGCTAATAATGACATAAAGTGTTCTTGAACAGTAGCTGTAGGAGATTGCACATTTGTGATGATATCTGAAAGTAACCCTTTGAGATGCTCTATTCTGAGACCACACAAAACTTCACTCAGTCTCTGACCAGTGCCTTGTTGATCCACACCAGATGTATCCATGTTCAGAGTCTGCAGAAGTCCAGATATAAGGTCAGGCAAGTGGCCCTCATCCAGTCATTCTATTAACATTTCCAACACTTTGGCAGCTGTAGCTCTCATACAATATGCATCACCAATGGTAATTCAGGCAGATATGGAATGAAGTCTCATGTTGATATTCTGTTGCAGAGGATGCTGTTGGAAGAAGCATATATGCAAAACTCATGTCTTCAATTTCTTCAGATGAGCCACTTGTTCTAAAAGTATCATAATAGTATTATGACACTTTCTGCTGTAGCCTTTCAATTTGATAGACTGAGACTGGTCACTAGAACATTGGATAGCTTGCAATGGTGACAATGAGCAAAACTCTTTGCTGGAAAAGCATGTATGAGAGGATAATGGGCTGGATATCCTCAAGACATTCCTCAGTGGACTACTGTCTTATATTAGTAAGCCTGTTAAATGAACAAGTCTATCACATGTGTTAATTATATACAGATCATAATCATGCATAGTTGGAATGCAGCATATGGTTTGGTGGATGTCATCAAGGATACAGAGATTACAATAGAGATGAAGGAGTTCAATGTGATTAATAATTTGTGAGCAGCTATAGAGGATAAGTGTTTGCCTTCAAAACACTATCCAGTTCATTGAGATGAGTTTTTGAATCTTCATTGGCATTGGTATATCATGTCAACATATATCCTCTAAAATATTGACAATAACCTGGTTCCTATTTAAGAAAGAGGCACAGATTATAGGTAACCTGGTGTTATTAACAGACTTATGAGACTTCATCTCATATCTGTCTAAATTACCATTGATAGTGCATATTGTATGAGAGCTACAGCTGCCAAAGTGTTGGAAATGTTAATAGAATGACTGGATGAGGGCCACTTGCCTGACCTTATATCTGGACTTCTGCAGACTCTGAACATGGATACATCTGATGTGGATCAACAAGGCACTGGTCAGAGACTGAGTGAAGTTTTGTGTGGTCTCAGAATAGAGCATCTCAAAGGGTTACTTTCAGATATCATCACAAATGTGCAATCTCCTACAGCTACTGTTCAAGAACACTTTATGTCATTATTAGCAATGAGGGCTGAAAGAATGATTATAATCAACTATTTAAATAGAGTAATCAATCTGTTTGATTCTGGTTAGTGCATTCAGGTATGAATCTTGCCATCTTGTTTGTTTTTGCTAACTGCCTTTCTCCAGCAATCATCCATTACCCTTGTGAGAGAGCTTATATTCAAAGTTTCTGGTATCTCAGAAAAAACTTGTGATCTTGATAAGGAAGATGTCATTGATGCAAGCACTGCAGAGAGCTCTTGCTATGCTTTATTTTGTTTGTCAATCATTGATACAAATCTAGAAAGTATTGGTGACCAATACTTTCTAAATAGGTATGATGAATCTACAGTTGACTATCTCATAATGCATATGGTTGGGAGACACCAAAACCATATGCATTTATAGATTTATGCAGAACCAAAATAGCATGTGATGTGACATGTGACTTATGTGACAATATCATCATTGCCCCAAAATGCTATCAGTGGCTTTTGGGTCAGCTTTCCATGCATCTCCTTGAATAATGCTCCTCTCAACTTCCTCAGCTGTGGTACTAATCCACCCTGATCACCTTATAAAACACAAAATGCCTCCAGCTTTCAAATAAGCTCAAATCCTTCTCTTGTAGTTATTAAGGTCTGTTCTTCCTCACCCTCCTCTTCCTCCTCTTCCTCCTCATCATCAATGACAGTTATTTCCCCATTTTCTACTGCAATATCATGCTTGACAGCAGCAACAATCTCCTCATCTGTTGGCATCACCTCAAGATCTTCAGTATACTCTTCTGCAATAGGGCTAACCATCTCTTCAATGGTTGGAATGAGACCAAACATGTGATTTCATTGTTTCAATTTGACAAGATAGTCCTTCAACATTATCTCTGCTGTCTGGAGCTGTTGAATGGAGGCAATTTGGGTGGAAGATGTGTTTATTTTTGACTGTGACAAAGGAGCCAACTGATTGACTACCTTTAGTGCTTTACCAACATCATTCTCTGCATTCATAACAGCCATAAGAGCAGGACACCAGTCAGCATCAGAATATTGGTTTTCAAGCAGATTCTGCAATGCCTGTTCAATCCCTGAAAGCATGTATTTGTCTGTTGAGGCAAAGTCATGAACAAGATTCCATGCAGACTTGAGGAGTGAGGTGTCTTGGAAATCATTGGATGGTGTGGTGGACTGTGATTCAGATGCATTGTCAGGCATTATACCAGTGTATTTCCAGCAGTTTGCTATCATTTCACTGCTGACATTTGCCCAAGCATCATGAGCAATAGTCATAGCTTCAAGGAGATCGAGCTTGAAGATCTCAGACTCTTCAAGATCATCAAGATCAAGTGCATGGATACATATGGCATTCTGATAATGTGCCTTGAAGCAGCAGATAATACCAGCATCTAGTGGCTGGACATATGGAGTCATGTTGAGCTTGAAAAACTCCAGCTTTGTATTATGGGATATATAAGCAATGGAATGCCCTCGAAAGTTATCTAAGATCAGCAGAACCTATCACATCTCCCTCTTCATCTTTAAATCAAACATCTTCATCCAGTCTATAAATATTTTGCTCATTATCCAGGCCTTCTTGTTATTCTAATAATAGAATCTCATCACTGTTGGACTCTTTTTT